GGGCGGGACGGGGCGCGGGGCCGCTGTTGTCATGTGCCCCTTGCTGGCGTGCTGTTGGGCGCCTTGCGATGCAGGCAGCCGCCATTGATGCCCCCTTTGGATGTTGCAAGCGTTCGGCGGGCGGGCTGCCCAGGGGACTGGGCTGGGTGGTCCTGCTGGCATCGCTCGGGGTGGTGCCGTCGCCCATCTGGTTCTCACCGATGCCCCAGCACTGTGGGCTGGGCGGCTGTGTCCGCTGCCCCTGACCTCCCCTATCTGTTTTTCAAATTGATGCGGTGCGTTGAATCATCCATCTGCCCGCTGCTCGGCACCCATTGACCGTACTGCCCCTCTCCTCCCGCAGGCTCTGGCCGTCTCTCTGGTGCTTTTCCGCCAGTCCACCGCCGCCATGATCAGCCGCGCCGCCTCGCGCACCCTCGGCCTCTCACGCTCAAGCAGCGCCGCCGTCGCGGCCGCCGCGGGGCCTGCGCCGCCGTCGCGCAAGCCCGCGCTCGGCGCCGCGCGCGCCGCGGCGGCGTGGCTGGGGCTGAACCTGCCTGTCATTCTCATGTATTGCCCAGTCCACCTCTTCTTCACGCTCTGGACTGTGAGCTTCACGTTCCTCCCTCTGAAGATCGCGGCGGCGCTGTGGGCGGCGTTCCTGGTGCCTTACTACACACTGTCTTCGCTCGGGGACTTCCCGCACACGGGTGCGCGCGTGGTTGCGGTATCGCGCGCGTGTGCGGGCATGGGTGCATGCGTTTGTGTGTGTGTGTGTGTGTGTGTGTGCGTGTGTGTGTGTGTGTGTCTCAGTGTGTGTGTGTGTGTGTGTGTGTGTGTGTGTGTGTCAGTGTGTTTGTGTATGTGTGTTTGCATGCATATGTGCATTCGTGCGTGTATGCGTGCGTGCTGGGACGACAGTGCCGTACTGTCGTGCAGTCGACAGATGCTCACGGCCTGGCTATTGCGGCGACCATCGCGCTGGTTGTAGCAGCTGGATCAAGCGGACACCACCCGCGCTCTCCACCGCTGCACCCTCCCCTACGGCCCCTCCCCACTGCATGAGGGCACCTCACGTCCCCGCCCCCTCGCCCGCCTCATCCTGCTCGCCTGAACATCTTCCCCTGTGGCCCCCGCCTTCCGCCCTGGGCCCCCCAGGCTGTCGGGAGTGGCCGTGGCTGCTGCGCTGGTTCAGTGAGAACGTGGAGCGCTCCCTGGCCCACTGGTTTGGCAGCGTGCAGGTCGTCTATGACGGCAGCGCAGCAGACCGCGCCGCACACTCCAACGACGCCGCGCCGCCGCTCGCGCCGCGCGTCGAGCTCGGGCGCGCCAAGGCGCCGCGCCAAGGCGGCGGCGGCGGCGGCGGCGGGGCCGGGGATGGGGCCGGCAGCGACGGGGCCGGGGTCGGCGAGGCCGCTGTTGCGAGCGTGGTTGGGGCGCTGGTGAGCGGGGGCAGCGGCGGTCTCAGCAGCGCCAGCGCCAGCGCGAGCGACCGCTCGCTCTCCCCGCCGCGGCA